GGTACAAAACTGTCCAAACGCCTCAGGAACCGAGTCACTCTCCCCTCCTGCCCGGTTTCGCTGAACAACTTGATTTTTTGTGTGTGTTTTTTCCGGGCCGTTCTCCTGCTCCAGCGCCTGGGAGGCAATCGGACAAGCGCGCTCAGTCTGATCAAACAGGCCAACCTTCCTTCCGTCCGCCCTAACGCGGCTATATAGGACAGTCTCTCTCTCCCCCCACCCCGCCCCCGTAACTTCTTGGCCTGTGATCTGACTCCCTCGTGGGTTATGCTGCGCCGTTTGGGAAACAATATGATTCTAGCACTTTTGGGTTGTATTAAAATCGTTGTGATTATAATAATTATTTTTATATTTAGTATGAATTGAATACTGGGGCCTTTGAAGAGAAAAAGAAACAGTTCTGGTGGCCACGTTGAAGCGATCCGGTGCCCTTTCCCCCCCTTCTCCCATTTCGCAGAAAATGCCCTCCTTTTTCTAGGTGGAGAGTTGCAAACGACAATGACAATTTACTTCCACTGAATTGTGAATATTTGTGAGTTCATCCCTTCCTTGTACCCCCCCCCTCTTAATTTATAAAAATCACTTTAACTTTTGGCAATAGCTTTTGATACTTAATTCTAAAACTCTGCTTGGTTTGAACTCTCCTAGGCTGTTTGGAGAAACGTGAAGAGTTTGGTTTCTTCCAGAAAAACTCCCCTTTTGAGCCGAGGCCATGGGACCACTTTATCCCTCGCTGGCCACCTCACTCTTATGGGGATTACTTCTCTTGGATTTGGTGACTACCGGGCATTTGGGTCGCTATCCAAATATCAAGGGGTCTTTGTTCTGAAAACAAATGGGCTGATTGCAGGGCAGGCGCAAACTTCCTTCAGTTTCCCTGACTGTTGACTGTGATCCAAAGGTCATGTCTACCCAGAGAGGCTTGGAGGCTTGAATTTAAATCTGAACCCAGTAATTGGATTGTTGTCCCAATTGAAGGAGGGCTCATAGTTAAAAGTCTTCAACAACCACCCTTTCTCTCTGCAGCTTCCTTTTCCAGCCAAAGATTTATTCTCCTTCGTACTGATATTTATTATAACAAAATCGAAATAACGGGTGTGTTTTGATTTCTGATGAAATAAGTAGGCAAGAGCAGCAGTTTGGAACTTGGTGGAGGAATGGTGATTCTTCTGAAGAAAAGAGATTTAATAAGAGAAGTTTAGACATTGTTGGAAGAAACACATTCACAAATCCAGAAAAAAATAAGAAATAATGAATGGAGAACCGGTCCAGGCAACATCCTCAGGTAGTCTGGGAACCTCTTGGTAGACAAGAAAATGGTAGACAAGTGAAAATGGTGGATTTAACAGCCTCTCTGTCCACAAATTGGGGTGTGTTATAGGCTGCACTGTATCAAAAGTGGGAGGGGAAGGCAAAATGGCAGACTAAGCCATGTGGGAGGATATAGCACCTGTGGGAATAGTATGAAACCCGGTGTGTACTTCGATTTTCCTTCTAGAAAGCTTCTGGAACACCTGCTTTAGCTGCCTGGGAAGGCTTTGAACAGCTCAGGGCTCATGGGGTTGAGGATTTTTATCCCTTCGGTCACCAGGACCACCAGGCTAAACTTGGCTCCAGTGCTTGTATAACTTTACTTGGACTTAAGAGTAGGAGGAAAATGTCTAGAGCCTGCAAGAGTAGCCCGGGAATTCTGTTTTTGAGCACAGCCAAATCCCAATAAATGAGCCTGGAGGCAGGAAGCAAATAAGGCAAACGGCTATATTTATACAAGATGATGAATTAGGTCGGGGCTGAAGGAACGATGTCCTGTTGCCCTTACAGGCAGATCATCCGAGGGTCTAGCTAAAATGGGGTTTGAATGTATTGGGTTCCTCTGTGCACTTCCAAATTTTAGGATCCTCTGAAGGGAGCCAGCAAAGGCATTGGAGAGCTGTTGTTGTGCCGAGATATTATCATCACAACCCTGATAGGTGAAGGCTGAAATGGGGAGGATAGCACCTACTTTCTTCTCTTGGTGCAAATTGGAAGTTTCTGAAACCCTTGCATAGGTGTTCTTCTTCCTCCCACTTGTAGATTTCATTTTTCGATTAATTGTTCTTTCCATCCTCACTCTCAGGAAGACTGTAACGTTTCATGCAGCTAGCATGGGAATTCTTTAACCCCAAACAATGCATTCCAGCTATAACCATCCCAAGGGATCAAATTAGTTTCAAATGCATTAACAAATTTGTAATGGGCAGCCTGGCAGTGTTGGGAGAAGCAATTTTCCTGACCTACCACCTCTTTTAACTAGGGGCAAAAAATTTTTCCATTTGCCTTGGAGTAAACTCCCTAGGATCCCGTTATCCTCTAAATGCACAGCAGCAACTCATCTACAAGGGTTTTCAGTTAAGAAAAGGGAATCTTTTTAATTGCCTTTGATTTCAAAGTAAATAAATCCCTATGGGGAAAAAACAATAAAAAAATAGTAAAATAAATAATTTCAAAATAAGAAAAGAACCACAAATCACTTTTCTTTGTTATACTTCCTTCCCATATCCCGAAAAGGCAGCAATAAGAGGTGTCCTGAAATGTACAATTCTTGAAGCCCCGAGTAGGGCACCTAAGGGGCAAAGCAGCAGGTCTCCTCCAGTGTAAGGTTCCTTTTCATTCCTGCTTCAAAATATGCTGGCCGTTTTCAAAAGCTGCTTTCGGCTCCTTGATCCCGGGATTTGGAGCTTGGTTGGGCAAGACTGGCCTTGCCGTGAGTTGCCGTAAAGCACTCGGTGCCAGAGGCCAGGAATAAAGTCCCCTCCAAGCCAGGCTTCAGAGGGGGTGCACGGGAGATTTGGGGAGTTTTTGGAACTGAAAGGAATCTTAGAAACAAACCGCTTTGTAGCATAATCTCTGAAATTACCCCCTTTCCCCTACTAGAGTTTTCAATGTCCAATGGAGCTAGATCTTGCTAAGCGGGAGGAGGGCAGAGGGCACCCCTAGCACATATGAAAAATTGAATGAGACTAACTGTACCAGGGCTAAGGTTCCCTAAGCTTCAGGGCTGGCCAACTCAGAGGTCTGGAGAATTTTGTGTTCTCCCATCTCACCCGCCCCCACCCCAAAAGAAGGTAGCTACACATTGCTGTGCTATCGGGAAGAGCGCACTACTTGCTGACAAAATTGACAACTGCTTCAGTGAAAATAGTTCCTCGCTAAGCTTCCGATGGAGAGAACCATCCTGCCAGCAAAGGGGCAAGGAGCATAAAGCTCCCAGGCCGTTAAAATCCCTGTGGAAGCGGGGGGGGGGGGTGTCTCCTTTTGGTCAAGACAGGAGACTTGGAGTAAAGGAAGAACCCGCCCTGCTCGCTCGTCTTCCTTTGGGGAAAACTTCGCAAAATATTTCTGAGAGCCCAAGACCACGGCCAAGGCTGTAGGGTCAGGAAAGCAGCAAAGGTCTTCTCCTATTGCTTCCCCTAAAAATGTTTGAGCATATTCGACCCTTGGCTCAGTTCAAGTGATCTAGCTGATGGACTCCAAAACTAAACCACTCCAAAAGCAGAGTAATTTTGAATAGGCTGGACTGCGCCAACGGCTGCTTCTTGGCGACAGAGACGTTGCCCTGTTGGATGGGCAGAACGCCTGCTCTGGGATTGGCAATGGCCATGGGTTTCTGTGTTACCTCTCTGAGGTCATGGCAGGAACCAGAGAGGGAAAAATTCCTCCAAAAGAACAGTTGCTCCCAACTAGTCCGCAAAGGCCCGGACAACCTCACGCTTTAGTCTTTAGTCGTCTGTTCAACTAGCAGGCTGGGAGAAGCAGGGGCTGATGCATTGATAACCATGGGTACTTCTGCCCCTCCATTCCCTGGCCAGTGTTGCCAGAGGAAGGCAAGCATCGGACAGATCCCGAGAGAGGATTCGGTAGCACCGTTTGTCTTGCAGTTCAATTGAAACATGCAAGCAAATAGACCGACAATTAAACAAAAAGAAAACATCATTGCAAGAATGGTTGGGTGAGGCCTTGTAGGATGGCCTTGTGTGCTGGAAAATCCTTTTATGCTTTTTGCACTGCCAGGGATAGAGAAAAAAAAGTGGACAATGGAGGGGGGTGAGTTTCTCTTTCTCTTGGGTGGGGCCGATTCTTCTCAGAGTCAAAGAAAGGGACATCTTTGGGAATGTGCATTTTTTCTATTCCAACCGATTCATCAACTGTTACTGTGCAAACAAGCAAACACTTTCTGGTAGGAATACTCAGCGTGGCCTCTTCCTCTGGTTTAACCCCGGCCTGTCAAGAAACTCTTCTCCCTTCAAAGCAAGAGTCTCTCTGAGCACCTGCAGAGAGCTCTTCCAACCCCATTTCAGGATTAGTTCACAAAGTGGAGGGGTATGGTTTTCAGAGTCCATAAAGGGAGGCTAAGCAGATGAAGCATCGGGTCACTTTAAATAGAGCGATTTAGCCAACCCTTTTCCGACTCTTGTTCGCCGGCCCCCTCCTTGACAGACGCCGGATTCTCCTTCCCCCTATAATGCTTCTTTAACTTGGCTTGATTTTTTTTTTTTTTAAAAAAAGAACGAGTCCGCTCAACACAATCGCTGGATTCTCAGGCAAGAGGACGTGAAGTGATGGTGTCAAAGCTGTCCTTTGATTCACGCAACCAGCGAGCGATTCGGCTTAAGCCCAGGCAGAAAGGTCGACCAAACCCTAAGAAAAGCCTTTTTCTGCGGAGAAGAGATTTCGAGTCAGCCTTCGGGTTTTATTTCTTACATCCCTGGAAACCTTTTCATCGGACCAGTTGGGAATTTCTTACTGCCTGTCTCTTTCTCTGCCTGCGCTTCGCTTCTGCCCCATCCTGGGCACTGTGCAAGCAAGCAAGCAAACAAACAAGCAAACCAACAAATAAGCCACCCCATCCCAGTGCTTTGACTTTTTCCTGCAGACTTCTGAGGAGCAGGCAGCAGCCGCGCTCGCTTAGCCTCTGCGTTCGGCTACGGCTGTTAGAGTTGGCTTTGTGTGTCGACAAGCTTATGGGTAAGTGTGTGGTAAAGGCGCAAAAAAATAAAAATAAATAAATAAAAAGAATTCTGAAAACGTTGCACTAATTCCGGGGAGTTTCCCTGTTAAACCATCTCCGCAGAGACGCCCGTGGTGCTAGGGAAGGCTTTCCGCAACCACCTCGCCACGCCGTTGGGATAAAGAAGGACCGAAAGCGCCCTGAGACCCTTTTTCCAGAGCTTCAGGCCGGCGGTTTATTCCGGTCGCCCTTCAGCTCTACCGAAGTCCGGGCGGCACAAGAGAGATTTCAGACATGTGCCCCAAAGTTCTCGGCGCCATAAGCCCCGACCTCGGTTGCATCAGGGCACAAAGAAACGGTTTTCTCCACTCGTGACCTTCGGGAAGCGCTCTCGAAATGGGCGCGCGTATTTCGCCGCTAGACATTTGATCCAGCAGAAATGATTTCTTTTTTTTTTTTTGCTTTGGTCCGCGGTCGCAGAGAGTGCGGGCGGCTTGAGCCGAAGGTAGGAAGCCGTTTTCGAGCGCCTGGAAAAGCCAAAAGGACGCTTCCAAACCTCGGCCTCTTCTTTGCCGTATTTGAAAGGGTCGAGCCTTGGGCGCTTTGATGTCGGCCAAGTGGTGGTGGTGAGAGTGGGGAACCCGGTGGCTTTGCTACTCAGTTTCAAAGATCATCCTGACGGATCTTGCCGAAGGAAAAGCCGGCTTAGCCTGCAGCTAGGAAACAGAAGAGCTTTGGACCAAGCCAAGCGGACCTGCTCCTTCGCAAGTGCTCTGCGTGAGGGTCGGCTGCTGGTTAAGCTCCCGTTAGGAGACAAACACGCGGCCAGAGCCGATTCCATTCCCAAGACGGTCCTTTCCTTGTCAGCATCGTGGATCCCAAACCCCTCCAAATATGAGGGCACACAGTGGGAAAGGCGCCTTTCACGAAGCGAACTTAACGGCGTTTTGCACTTTTCCCCTCGTCCCTCCACTGCCTCAAGTTGTTCTGGCCCTTCTGGAAAAACACTCTTCGCTTAATATTTTCAGTACGCGGGCTCATCGATTGAGGCTGCTCGCCTTTTGAAGTCTGTTTCAGCAACAGTTGGATGAAGCCCGAAGTTTAAGAGAAGCGGTGATTAAAATAAAGACCGAGACGCGGCTTCCGCGGGGCTCCTTCCTTAGAGCCGGCCTCCTTCGCCCTGCGGCACAAAGCTGCTGAGCGTTTCCGCCAAACCAAAAGGTAACTATCAGGCCCGGGGACCCTGAAAAGTGACCCACGGGCTCTCTTCCCATCCGCATTTAACAGCCTCGGAGAGAAAAAAAAAGAGGCCGGGCACTTTAGTTCCCTCTCCTCGACAGCTGACAGCCCGGTTAGACTGCCTTTCCCGCCAGATCTATGGCCTGGCTGGCCCAGATAGGGGATCCTTTCTTTCCCCCAGAGTCCGGTGGTGATTGTCCTCCTGATCGTGGAGCTTCAAGACTGTCTGTCGCCAGGTGGTGCTTCCAAAGCTGGCATCAAAGCAATAGGTGGGAAGAAGCCTTTCTGAAGGGCTACTTGAACCGCGGCATGGAGACCACTAGGAAATTCAGTTACGGTTGTCACCTTCCCCCCCACCTTTTTTTTGGTATGTTTCTGAGAGTCACTAGATTTACCCCGGCAGCTTCCCAATAATCGGGGAATAATTCAAACTCTCTATTGTGCAGGACTGAAGCGGGATGGTTTTTTTCACAGCATCTGCCCTAAAAGAAACGATGCTAATGGTAGGGCTATCCAGCTCTTTGAGAGGTTCGCGGTTTCAGGCCGCTCGAAGTCCCTACTATGCACAATGTAATGTTATGTGCGCCTCCTCAGAAGTAACGTCTCCACTGATTGACGGGGAAGGGGATTAATGACAGGAAGGCACAGCCGTTGATTTCAGCCCTACGTCTGATCGATGGTGCCGAGAGGCTTCGATGGAAGATGGCAAGAATCTTAACTGAAGTTTCAAAGACTGAGTAAGATCGGTCTCTGAATCCAAGCCAATCCCTCCGCCTCTACAAACCCCATCAATCCACTGGGCTTCTTTGGCCCCAATAGTCAGAATTTCCGGGCGCAGTCAGTCATCCTACGCTCTTGCCACAGAACGACGACCACGGCGAAGTGGACCCAAAGCCAAGCGGGAAGGGAGGCGGAGTGAGGTTCAAAACCTCGGCCTAACTTATCTAAGTTCTCTCCTAAGGTTGTGGGGCAGGGAGATCCTGAAGACAGTCTGGAGTAAAGTAAATCAGAAGAAAAGAAAGCCCATCGCTGCTCCCCTTGCGGAACGTCCAGGAATTATGACATTCTGGCCAGCGGCCTCTATTAATCTGCAGGAAAGCAGGTCGTGCGGGACTAGAGCAGGGGTCTCCAACCTTGGCAACTTTAAGACTTGTGGACTTCAACTCCCAGAGTTCCTCAGC